AGGGGACGTGGGAGGGGTCGGGGTGGTAAGCGGTGACGGGCGGTAAGCAGTCGTAAGCTATAAACGAAGACCCAATGAAAGTTCCGGTTGCGTCGTTATAATGCACCGACTACTGCCTGAAGTACCTTTGTTTGAGTAACCCTGTCGGTGCCTTAAGGAATAAGTTGCTGTAGATATGTTAATAGACAACGTACACAACATATAGTAAGTAATACAGGCTACAGGCAGCTAAATGACTCGGGCTATTGCATTAAGGGATGGGATGTCTATATGTACTGTACATATAGTATCATGCGCTAGATTAAGCTACTGGCGCTGGTATATGGATGTATCTCTCTTCTAGGTAATAATATAGAGTTGTTTGTGACTCACACTATATGGATCATGACCATGACCATGACCATGACCACTGTTTGTGTCCCATAAAGAAACCAGAAACAAAGCAACAACACTTTGGTGCCAAATATCAAATTATGTTGTGATCGTTTGGTGAAATTAGGTGTGTTAAGTGACAATAACTTGGCAGTGTGTAGGCGTAGAGTGGAGCCTTAGGCTAAAACTACTAGGGGGGGGATTATCGGATCTCGCTTCCTAAGATGACGGTTAGGTGAGATGGTACGTACGGAATGGGTAAGAACTACTGACACACTCATATTCTAGTAGAATAGAGCATATTTGTTACATTACGAGGTACCCTTGTATAGACAGAGGTAATCTTACTATAGTTTCTCTAAGGTTACTTTACTTACTTCACTTCAATTTCTCAACACCATCGAGACATTATCCTGTTCCAACCCCTAAGGAAAAAAGCCAACACGACAAAAACCAACTCGACAAAGCCAACCAACCCAACCAACTCAACAACACAGCCCTCCTCCTTTCCCCAGGTGATCGTCAAATATTTGTTTGAGGTTGCCTTAACCTAACGACGCTTACCCTGACTGGTCCGACTCTCGCAACTACTAGGCGCCCGCAGCTTCTGCCACAGTGGCTAGCGCATTCATTTAACATTCTTTGTCAACTCGTACTCCTAGTTTGATTCCTATTCGCCTCGCTTACTCTCCGTTCACCCTTCGCCGTTTGAGGGCCGCCCTAGCCGACGAACCTGCCAGTCTGGCAAAAGCGAATCTCTTCTAATCTCCCTAACAAAGAAATTCACCCACCATCTTCATTTCCTCGGGTAGTTGTTTCATCCTCTTCATCATCATCAACTCACTTCTCGCAATAGATGGAATCATCAAAGTAAGTATTCTATTTTATCGTCATTAGGGTTCTTCTCGATCATTAAGGTCGCAGCCACTCGTTTGAGTTTGGCGAAATTCGTGGGGGTGTTTCTACGATGCTTTTTCATGCGATCATCTACGCCCTAGTTTACTAGACTGCATCAATCCTATTAGCACCTCCACACATCACCTTCATCAATGTCAACCATCCTTTGTGCAAAACAAACGATAAAAACTTATTTCAGCTACTGACTGGACATCACAGCCAAGTCAGCAATTGAGGAACGATGTTTGCTCCAAGTAGCATCCAGAAAGTTCCACCTGGCGAAGGTGAAATGAACAAAGAGAACGTCGTTTCCACAACCTCAGATGCTGCTGTGGCAGCTCCTCCAACCGCAGAGATGGACACTGGAATAATCCAGCCGGTGTCGAGCACGCCACTTCCTACTTCAGAAGAGCTGGTTGTACAGACGACTGGGGCCATGGATTCTGTTACTCAGCCAAGCACTTATCAACCAAGCGCAGCCCAGCCAAGCACAGGGTATTCTACGATATTCGCCAATCACAATGAACCCGATGATTCCGACGACGACTCTCCCATTCTCGGGCGAAAGCGCAAGAGAAACTCTACTAACGTTGACTACCTCGCCGGCTTAGCAGGAAAAGCTGAGCCCACCGAGCCAGCGGAGAAAAAGTCTGGATGGACGTGGAAAGGCACTCAGGGCCCAACATGGAAGGGCCATGAAGTGAAGCACGGGGTGCCGATCGGAGTATGGAGCTTGTCAGATGAGCCGATTGACGAGAGAAAGCATGTACTCTACGGATTTCTAGATCCAAAACTTGCATTACACGGCCGCAAATATCCTGAGCGCAAGGATGGATCAAAGTACACTGGGAACTTTCCTTCAGGCACCGGAACATGGGCGGCGAAGTCGCATGAGTGGCTGCTGGACCCTCACCTTAAAGGTCTCTCTAGGAAAGAGTTAACTGAGTACGTCAGAATTAGAGGTAAGACCTGGAACAGGGAAGAAAAGCCAGAAGTGCGAGATGCTCTTGATCAGAGTGCTGTTGTGGAAGCAAAAGAGATCGCGGCCGCTTCTGAATCCAATGTTAAAATCGAGAACAAAGGCACTAGTGCAAAGAAATCTAAGAAAACGCCTCGCAAATCAAATGAAGGCAAGATCGATAAGAGCACGCCTGGGGGTTCCTACGACGGGCCATCTTCATCTCCAAACACTTCGACGACGAATGGTCCAGAGCAGATTTACACACCTTCAGCCAATAGACAGGCACGTAATGACAGCCCACTCGACATGAAGCCTCCTAAAAAGTCCCAAAAGGCTTCTCCTCTCCCGATGCCCATCCCAGACGCAATTCGGAGCAATACTGGTTCTCCAAGCCGTTCGGAAACTCCACCAAGAGAGCGATCAAAGTATGTCATCAAGGGCAAGGACGTTCTTATTGGCTACTGGAAAGATTCTTCAGAGCCCGAGGTCTTCAACAAGCACGCGATGTACGGCGTCATCCAAGCCCACGGAGTCTTCCGCGTGAAGGTCGTCCCGGAAACGCGAGACGGTCGGTATCTCAAAGATGGTAACTATCCCAAGCTGTCTGGTGGCTGTTGGGTCAACTACGATACTTGCGTTTTCGAAAAGTACCTCAAGGACCTGATTCGCACGGAGATAGAGGAGTATTGCCGAATCTGCGTGGCGGACCCAGACTATAACGAAAGGGAACAGGGACCAAGTATCGACAGAGCTGTGAGGGAAGCGAAGAGAATCGTGGCCGAGAAGGCGGCGGCGAAGGGGATGAACATCATCGAATATAACCGCAAGAGAGTCGACCAACTGGAGCAAGGTGCCCTTGCCAGAGAAGTTGAGAAGCAGAGGAAGAATGGCGAGGTTGTCGTCACCCCCTTGAAGAAGGTCGAAGTTAAGCACACTGCCAAAAGATCCGACAAGGCCGCCAGTGATGCTAGAGCCCAGATGGTGAGGCAGGCCAGAATAGAGGCTAAAGAAGCCAAGGAGAGAGAAACTCTGAACTCAAAGGGAGATGCGGATTTGGCCGAGGCGATTCGCCGTAGTACATCTGAGCAAGAAGCACTAGAAGCTCGGAAAAAATCCATGCTGAATTCCAATGCCCCACCTGCCAAACCGGCGGAGGTTAACAAGAGCAATAGGGCTGA